AAGTATAGAATCTATCACCACATTTAATCCCGTGGATGTTTTAAGAAGCAAATATGGGGGTATGTCACAAAATTCTTATGGCTTCCAATCAATGACGGGATAACCATCTCGTTTACGTCAAACAAACCTACACTGGTGACGGGCAGCGTCAAGATGCGAGACGTCTGGATCTGCGATCGTCAGTCCGCCTGCCAAAATTGACGACTAAGGCTAATCCGTGTTAACGTGAGAGGCCCAGAGGTTCCATTAGTAAACTTTTACGATCTGTCAATGTATTAATAAGTAAAATTAAAAAGCCGCGTAAAACTTCGCGCACATCACATGCGTTCTGAACCGCAGCGCATCGCAATGCAAATAACCTGAACGCACAAAAGGAGTAGTGATTGAATCGTACCATGAAACGTGTTGATGATTGATATATATCATACTATCATATCCAATAGGCAAACCATAGCCAAACTTGTGGCTCGACCTAAAATTTAAGATATTATGGTACTTACTTTAAATGAAATCAATTAAGCTGCAACAAACACTTTTGTTTTGTAAATATTGACGCATAGAGAACAAAAAAATATTAAATAAAACCCATTATTGGGTCTGCATATTTTCCATGTATAATTTATTTATAATAATGCCTTGATCGATACAGGATTAATTCCAAGTTACGTTTATTTAAAAAGGCGCCTGGCTTCACTGCCTGCAAACAATGCATGTATACATATGTATTGACATGCATTGTATGTGTACGAGGGCGGTACTGAAAATTTCGGGAATCAAGGAAGTGACACAACATTACTATTTAAAAATGTATTTATTGCTTTTCGAAGTATTCTCCGCGAAATTTGACACATTTTTCCATACGATAGAACCAATCATTGAAGCAACCATTCCATTCGGAAGTTGGGGTCTCCAAAATGGCCGTTTTGTAGGCGTCCACAGCTTCTTCAGGTGATGAAAATCTCTGTCCACGCAATTTATTCTTTATTTTAGGAAAAGTATAGAAATCATTAGGGCTTAGGTCGGGGCTGTACGGCGGATGGTCTAATAATTATGTTTTCTTGCTCTAAAAACTTGAAAAGGATGATGCGGCGGTTGCAGTTCTCTTTACGGAGTTCAGAAACGACCTGTGGCAAACAAATGCTAGCATACCATTCTGCATTAACCGTTCTTTGTTCCTCAAGAGAAATAGTGGTAACATGGCCGGTTTTGGAGACAAACGTGGCCACCAATTTTTTTGCAATACTCCGTGAACGAATAATTTTTGTTGGCTTTAACTCATTTTCGAGCACCCAAACTCTTGACTGGTTTTTTGTTTCGGGTTCGTTGTTAAATCAGTTAAAATAATGCATTACCACTCATTATGAATTTAAAGATAAAAAGGACAGAATTTTCAAGATTTTCTTAATAATTTTTTCTTTACATCTTGCCTATATTACTTATTCTGAACCTTCTTTGCAAATTTGATCGGTTATTGCAATATAACCCTTTATAACGTCAATGTGGCCATCTAAAGCATTCCTAACAAAAAAAAGGAACACCGTCATACGATATTCACACAGTACGTGTGCATGTACATCATCATTCATTCATCCTCATTCATCATTAAAGGTTTTTTTTATAGAATAGGGGGCAAACGAGCATGCGGCTCACCTGATGGTAAGTGACTACCGCCGCCCATGAACAACCGCAACACGAGGGGAATTGCAGATGCGTTGCCGGCCTTTTAAAGAGGAGTAGGCTATTTTTTTAAAGGTCCCTAAGTCGTATCGGTCCGGAAAAATCGCTGATGGTAATCGATTCCACAAGGAAGTCGTGCGAGGAAGAAAACATCTTCTAAATCGCACAGTGGAGGACCGCCAATCATCCAGATGGTGTCGATGGTATCGGCAGTTCTGCCGCGATGTGCGTTCGTGAAATTTGGCGGCTAGGATTAATCCGAACAATTCCTCAGAGCACTCCCCGTGGTAGATGCGAAAGAAAATGCAAAGGGATGCAACTTCTCTTCACAGTGCTAATAAATCGAGCCGATCGGAATGGTCTCGGTCGTCGACGGATCGAGCCGCTCTGCGCTGGATGCGGTCAAGTGGAAGGAGCTGGCACTGGGGAGCCCCTGCCCAGAGATGGGAACAGTATTCCATGTGAGGCCGAACCTGTGCCTTGTAAAGTTGCAGGCGGTGTGCCGGCATGAAATGCTGTCCCGTTCTGCTGAGCACGCCAAGCTTTTTAGAGGCCAATTTGGCCTTCTCTTCCAAGTGACCACGACACTGCACGTCACTCGATATGTCGACTCCGAGGATTCCAATACTGGCTGAGGCAAGAAGGGGAGTGCCTTGAAACTGAGGAGATACGACAAAGGGGTTCTTTTTAGCGGAAAACGCGCAAACTTGGGTCTTCTGAGGATTAAACTGGACTAAATTTAGTCGCCCCCAATCCGAGACTTTGTTCAGCAAAGACTCGACTTCAGACACAAGTTTGTTCCGGTACTCAGCGACGTTTTCCCGAGAAATATTGGCACGGCCGGTGTATAGAGCATCACCAGTGCTGTCATCCGCATAGCACTGAATGTTATCAGTTAGCAACATATCATTGATATGCAGAAGAAACAGCGTTGATGATAGCACACAGCCTTGTGGCACACCAGCGTTAATAGGCTTGTAGTCGAAGCATGTACCGTCTACAACGACCTTGATTCTCCGATCTGCAAGGAAGCTGGTGATCCAATTGCACAATTTCTCGGGAAGCCCTTAGGAAGGGAGCTTCGAAAAAAGCGCTTTATGCCAAACCCGATCGAATGCCTTCGCAATGTCCAAACTAACGGTCAACGCCTCCCTCTTGGACTCTACTGCCTCCGCCCATCTATGGGTCAGGTAGACCAGAAGATCACCAGCTGATCGACCCCGACGAAAACCGTATTGGCGGTCACTAATCAGCTGGTGATCCTCAAGGTACCACATGAGCTAGCAGTTAATAATGGATTCCATTATTTTGGAGAACAAGGAGGTGATGGCGATGGGCCTATGGTTGGACGGGTCTGAGCGGTCGCCTTTTTTAGGGATCGGGTGGACAAAAGCTGTCTTCCATGAATTCGGGACTACGCCTTGGGAGTAGGAGTATCGGAAAAGACGCGTTAGGACCGGTGCCAACTCCGGAGCACACGTCCTCAGCACAATTGGGGGATCCCGTTAGGCCCACTAGACTTCTGGATGTCCAGGGAGAGGAGTGCTTTGCGAACCGAGCGCTGTGAGAACAGCATATCTAATATGGAGCACTCACACCGCGGGATGGTCGGCGGTGTTTCCCCCCCGTCATCAAGAGTCGAGTTGGACGCAAAAAGGGAGCCTAAAAGGTCGACTTTGTCTTTTGCGGCTTGGGCCAGTGAGTCGTCCACCCTGTGCAGAGATGGTAGTGATGGCTTACAGAAATTCCCTTGAACAGCCTTGGCGAGAGACCAGAATGCACGGGTTCCCGAAGGAAGGCGAACTAGTTTCTCGCCAATTCTGCCTATGTGCTCTGACTTTGTTATGGCAATAACTCTTTTGAAGGACCAATCCTAGTAACGTACTGCGACCCTGATGTGCACGAGGCTTTAAAGAGATGTCGCATGAAGCGGTGCGGTTGCATGCAATGAGTGCTACACGGCTGGTGCGGTATCGACATGCTACTTCGCTGTGAGATAAAACGTATTGCAAAGCACTAGATCCGCCTCTAGAAGCGAGAAGTTTGTTACATTACCATTACGGTTTCGCAAGGCATCAACATTATTGAGCGGTTGTATATCTTCGTACAAGCGCCGCAATGTTGCCGCAAGGCACAATGTGACTTCTGTTTTATTCGCAATAAATTTTAATAAAGTAAGTAACGTATAATGTTCCACATCAAGAGGATGCGTAACGAAGGGATCCATATGATATAGCCCAAGGAAACTTTTTTTTATAGACGAATCTTCATTTCAATTTCTTACATTAAAGACCGACCATACTCCCAGGCCTTTCATCATAGTTTTTATAGTTCTGTGAAACATTCATTATAATTGAGTACTTACGGTACATAACGTACATTGGAGAAGGCCGAGAGCAACTCTCGGGGCATTTCTGTTTACATATTTAAAGACATTCACTCTAACTTATTCAATGTAATAAAAAAAGAAAATGGGGTCCCGAGATTTTCGGTAGCGAGCCCCACGGTACACATTTCAATATTTTTATTCAATTCTGTGAGCAATTGACCCGGTCAATGCGATACGAGGTACCGTTCAGTTCTATTCATAAAGGAACCTATTGAATTACATAATCAGGGCTCTCGTTGTTTATTTGTACCCGTGCCAAGGCTATATAAACATTTTTCATTAATATGGGCCTACAAAAAAAATTATATAGTCACTTTCAAAAGGAAGTTCAAGTGACATTGGTACGTATTAATATTTGGGCAGTATTTTTTAAAATGTCGTTAGCGCAGAACAAAAATTAAATTTAATATCTAGCTTTAGGATCTATTAATATTAATAATTGATTCTTTAAACTGTTTGTCGAATTAATAAAGGGTTTATTTTTCTTTACAGGTAACACACAAGCTCCAGACAGATACTAAAGTGATTTGTATCAGTATAAGAATAATTACCCGGAGATTTAAAAAAAAAGTTTTTGAATTTAACTTATATACAAGGTATCATTACAATTTCACAATCATTCTCCTAATTTGTAACTCCCTCTCTCACTTGCCTCATTGCTATGCTAAAGATAAAAAAGTTAATTATATAATATACATCACCGACAAACATTTCGTTAAAAGGATTACCAAACTTGATACGCACCCTAAACTCATAAATTCGTACAGGTTTTTATAATGGACGTATGGCACATTATTCTTTCAAAAAATATGTAAAGTAAAATTTTAAAAGCATTGCTTCGTTTAGACATAATCTTTAATTACATAAGCAAAGTGTAACACAATGTCATTACTATTAAAAATAAAAAGTTTGTAAGTAATAATTTATACAAAATTTAAATATTTCCCAAATCGTCTTCGTTTCGAGATTCTTCCTCTGGTTTAGCCATATTATCTTCAACGAATTCCTCCTTTGCTTCTTCGATGCGTGTTGCATCTGCGACATCTTCCTCATTCATTTCTAAAAGTTCTTCTTTTGTCGATGGTGGTTTTTCGTCAGTTATATCAGTAACTACTGGAGGTATGGTATGCACACTCACATTTTGCGAAATTTGTTCTTTTGGGGACGTAATCAATGGTTCAACTTCAACTGGAGGTGTTGGTGGGGGTGGAGGTGCGGTTGCTCTAGAAACAACATCTGCGGGTTTTTCTAATTTTTTACTCTCTTTAACTTTCCTTTGCTTGCGTTCTAATGGCAAATATAATTTATAATCTTGGGGCAATTCCTCTTCAGTATAGAGGCGTTCACAGAAATAAATCCTTCTTAACCGCGCATTTGCATGTACTTGGACTCTAAGAGTTTCTATAAATTGTGTCCCATATGCCCTTTTTGTAAAATCAGCTAAGTTAAATTGTATTTGATTCCAACCACCAGATAATCCTATGGGCATCGTTGTACAAAATGGTTTAATCTTTGTTGTTGATTGGAAATTAGATATTCTGAATCTTCTTCGCATGTTTTTATCATCGAGAATAGTTATCTCAAATGAAAAGTATCTTTTTAAATTTTTAACAATCATAACCAGGAAAGGTAATTTTATTCCTAGTACTTGATTTCTTCTCGGACACGTTATGTAAGTAGTAGCAACATTAGTACTCACAATTTCAAGAACTATGGAATTAACTTCGTTATCTGTGAGCCTCTTTACGTGACCATTCTGAACCTTCATATCCCATATTGCTAAAGGATTAGATCCACAACTGTAGAATATTGTCAAAAGTCCACTTTGATATGTGTTTTTAAACATTATTAAATATTATCTAAAATTAGTTTCGCCAAGTCATAAGGCTTAATTATTTGACACTTAAAATAGATTTGACAATTTGACAGTTTATTTTTATGACATAATTTACAATCCGCCAGTATAATGTGTAACCTTAGAGTAATAATAACATAAATATGTATGTCGTATATCCTGGTATTTCTACTAACTATTCTTGGGCTTTACTCGCATCTATTAAAAAATGACCGTATAGTGGTAGAAAATTCACTATCCTGTATCGTCTTGTTGTAAGAAGCAACAATAGGAAACAAACCAGGAGATGTGTAGTAGTGTCTTCCTAATAACAACTAGAAAATAAAAAAATGCGACTGTAGGGACGATTTGCCATAGATAGGCAGACAGATTGTCAAAGAAATACCAATTCTGGCACCTGTCATGCTGCTCTCCCTGTCACTACTCTGGGTATCAAAACGGGGTGATGTATTCTCTAACATGAAGGGGTATTCCACTAAAAGATTAATAAAACATAAGTAAATAGTTGTAATTTATAGTTAACACATCCTCAGTAAATAAATTTAAAAAGGATTGTACAATTGGCAAAAAAAGAAATCATTATACATGAGTAGTATCAGTGACTATATAGTACATAATATTTATGTACAACACAGCAAAAGAAAAAAAATGACCTTTTAAAGCAAAAACAATATTTGAACATATTATTACCAGTCAATAGATATTCGCCAATTAATTTGTGATAATAATTAGTTATTATTTTATGAAAAAACTGATTTGTGTACAATATCATTATCATCATTATTACAGCCCTTCAGAAGTCCACTACTGAACTTAGTGCATGTCTTACCAGGTCGTCACTCAATCTAGTGGGGGGCCGCCACACACTTCGTCTACTGGTACGAGTATGCTACTCGAGAACCTTTCTTCCCCATCACCCATTTACAATATGGCTATCAGAAATGCAAAAAAATTGTCTGAATCATTTTAATTATTAATAAGACTCAAAGATTGAGAATATGCTACTCTTTTTGTCCGTGTGTATAAATAAAACTGTTTTTTAAAATGGTTTATAATTATTCACGAAGGCGTAAGGAAAAATAGGTGGAGCAGGGCAAAATGCTAAGTTTTTCTCTAAATTTCAACCTTATGTGCATGGGGTGGTGCACTTTGCCGATTAGCAAGTGAAAGTGTATGAACGAGTAGGAGTAGTAGGAAATCCATCCTAAAATTCTGAATCAAATTTGCGCTCACCAAAGCGCATGACCGTGCAAGACTAGTCTTCCATTCCGTGTACTAGACCATTTTGAAAAGGCCTTTATTGACCAGTGAACTTTAAAATGCTGCTGCTGTGATGATGTGACGAATAAATTAATAAACATTTTTTTTGATCGAACATTTTTTAATTCATTTTCAATGCACTTGTTTTATCTCTTCATGTTATTCTGTATCAGTTATTCTAAACACATTTTCAATAATTTCCTCTAGAAGTTTAACAATATCATCATTAATAAAATTTTGTCTCGTTACCTCATCCGCATTTATATTCATTACATCGTCAATAATTTCCTCTAGAAGTTTAACAATATCATCATTAATAAAATGTTGTTTCGTTAGCTCATCCGCATTTATATCCATTACATCATTAACTTTGACATGATTATTATGACTTGTAATAGAACTTACAGTAGTTTTAGAATTATTTATACTATTATTTTGCACTTTATTAGTTATACTGGCATCAGAAACTTTAATAGTCATTTCGTCTTTCTGTGATTCTGATAGTTCTAAAATCTTACTAGTTTGTCTTTTGCTTTCTTTTTTACCTTTATATTCTAAAGGGAAATATAACTTATATTCGGGTGGTAACTCATCCATATGAACCAATTTTTCTGTAAAGTATACTCTCCTAAGACGAATATTAGCGTTTATTTTTAATTTTTGTATTTCGACAAATTGCTTGTTATAAGCACGTCTGGTGAATTCGGCCAAGTTAAACTGGATTTGGTTCCAATCATCTGCCAAGACAATAGGCATGACCGTACATAGTGGTAATATTTGAGTTGTACTTTGAAAGTTGGACACGCGAAATCTTCGTCTTGTTCCAGTATCATCTAATATGGTGACTTCAAATGAAAAATATTTTTTTAAATTCTTAACTATCATCACGAGAAAAGGCATAGTTATACCTAAAACCTGGTTTCCTTTAGGACAGCTTATATACGTTGTACTTATATTAGTGCCGCCTATTTCTAAAACCGTCGACTTTATATCTTGGTCTAAAAACCTTGTTACATAACCATTTTTAATATGTGTCTCCCATATTTCTAAAGGTTTTGAGCCTACGCTGTAGAAAATTGTAAGCTTACCTCGCTGGTATTTATTTCTGTACATTCTTATGGCATTAGAAAACACCTTTAATATATTTAATATTTTATTAATACAATATGTGACACGAAAAAAATGTACTTATGTCTAAACTACGCGCAGAAATTATACGTCACAAATAAAATATTAAAAGAATGCATTACTTCTCCAAAAAGGTTAAGATAGGCTCTTAAAAAATATTATATTTCAATATAAAATACTATTTTGTACTAAAACTATTTTAGAAATAGCATGTTAATATGACTCTTCTATTTCATTGTTGTCTATTTTGTTTGGAAATATTTCATTTTACTTATAAAAAAAGCCATTATTCTTCTATATTTTACCTTTTTATAATCTTCAATCCGACAGTGTTAGTCCTATGGATAAAGTTGTGTTAGGAAAGTAAATAAAGATACAAGTTAAAATGCCCACACTAACGTAACTTGTCAAATAATGTTTGATATCTTTTATAATTTGAATTAAAAAATACAATCTTTTTGTTAAAATATTTGACCTTTAGTTATTAGAACTTTGGATTGTTTCACCCTTCGAATATCTACAGTACATTTAACGCGACGCCGGCGGAAATCAGCGCTTACGGCGAACCTCCCTTTTATATCATTCGTTCTGTTCTATGAAAATTTAGTAACATTGAATCGATTTTAACATATTTAGAGGTAGTGAATCTACAATTGTAAGTAATATCGAACAATTTCATTTTGATTACTTAAGTTGCTTTGGAAGACAAATAAGACAGGCCGCGTAGAAATTTTAGCGAAAAAATAGTTGTTTTTTTTTGTATAAGGTAATGGCCAGGCATAATTTATTGCACGGCATTTCTCTTGACACGTCAAGGTCAAGCATGATATTTATGATAGAAGCATTTACGATAGAAGCATTTTAAGAACATATTGTGTTCTTAAAATGCTTCTATCATAACCATATTGCACTTATACAATAATACGAGTAGCCGTATATCAAGAAAACACTCGAGTTTATCAATTTTATAGATATTTTTGTGCGTGGTAGAGCTATGCTGCAGCTATATTAGTAGTATAGTTGTAGCACAAATGGGTCGGCTCGACCGGGGAAGGACCACGCTCTCACAAAATACCAGCGTCAAATAGCAGCTTAACACTGCTGTGTTTCGTATGGTGAGTGTAGAGAACCAGAGACCCTTTTTACTGGAAAAGAGGCATTCCATCTTAGTCCTCACGAGTGACAACGCATCTGCATTTTGATTCGCAAACGAGGATAAATGTCGATGTCTATGGGCAACAGCAACCACTTACCATCAGGTAGACTGTGTGCTCGTTTGTCACCCTATCCTATAAAAAAAATATTTTCTAAAAAATCATTTAATATAGCTACTTTGAAAAAAAATGTTTGATAAAAATATATCAACGTCCGGATGTTGATTTTGTATGTGGTCACGCTAACTCCAAAAAAATTGTCGTATCGAGACCGGGTTTTTTTTAAATTAGCTGTTGAATTACATCAACTGGTTACCTATTTCAAAGTTTTCAAGTTTTATTGCTATTAAAGATTTAAAGGCGCTTTCATATTTTTTAGCTCTTGAAAGACAAAGGACAAATGAACCACACCGATTTTATACTACGTGTAATCGATTTATTTTGGTGAACATTATAAATATTATCCCTGTAGGTGAGGTGACACTACCTGTTAAAATAATAGTGCGCTAAAATTTAAAACACGTAAATAATATATTTTCAAAGTCAGGAATATAATTTTTTTTTTATTAAAATTTAATGCATCGCTCATGAGGATGAAAATATGTTGACTTCAAGTAAAAATACGAATGTCCCAAATTGACTTTGAAAATGTGTATTTCTTTCAACATTTTTTTACGAGCTGAATTGTAATATCGTATTACATTAAAAATGGATCTTCGTCGGGAACATTTTCGCGTGATGATTTTTTATGATTTCAAATGTCGCTCATTACCGGACGAAATGTACCGAAAAATTGGGAAAAATTAAATATCATTAGCTAAGTGCAGTTTTATTATTAATTAATTTAAAATTATTCAAAGGATACAATACAAAGTAAACAAATTAAAAATTACAGTGGTATCCATAAATAATTGAAGTTTTTTTATATAGAATTTGTTGGTCTGTGTCCAGTGTGGTCCGTAGACATCTACATTAATATTCAATTAAGAATCAAAATGCAGATGTGTTGTCACCCGTGAGGACTAAGATGGAATGCCTCTTTTCCAGTAAAAATGGTCTCCGGTTCTCTACACTCACCATACGAAACACAGCAGTGTTAATCTGTCATTTTATGCATTGAGTTATAACGTACCAGTATAACTCAATAATTTTACGATGGTATTTTGTGAGAGCGTAATCCTACCAATTCGTGCTACAACCATAAGATAGCTGCAGCGTAGCTCTGCTACGTAAAAAAATGTTTCACTTTTATATTCAGCCAGGTGACAATTTATATCATGTATAACTTTTATCTTAATTATGATTTAAAAATCGAACTTTAGCGCTATAATAAAGAAAATAGAAATAATATAATATTTAGCTTGATTCTAAAACGAACGAGCCTGTCAGATACAAACAGAAAATCTCAGGCGGATACGTAGAAATAAAACTTTTAAAAGAAAAGCTGAC